AACATGCGCATCCAGTCAACCACTACGGTCACAAGCTAGTTCACTGATGGATTGACGAACGGACACGCACACGCGCGAACTCACACATCCACTCGGCTACTATATCCACAATGACTGTAATTCAACAAGTAAACGACGGAACATCTGCCCCTTATATATATATATATATATATATATATATATATATATATATCCGTGATGTACAATGCCACAGAACTCTTGATGTTTACTGTTGTCCTGGAAATGTCAGAACACCAACGATCGACCGCCTTCCATGGAATATAAGCACGGTCCTTTGAACCCATTTGTTGCATTTAACCTTTTAGCTTACTGTTTACTGTTGTCCTAGGAATGTCAGAACACCAACGATCGACCGCCTTCCATGGAATATAAGCACGGTCCTTTGAACCCATTTGTTGCATTTAACCTTTTTAGCTTACTGTATTCCGACAATCAGCCCAGGTAACGTTCAAGTAATGAGGTAAAGGTAATGAGTAAAGTCAGTAAGTAAAGGTAGTGAGATTTTGTCAAATCATCGTATGAGTAATACTGCACCATCAGTTCCATTCACTTCGTAGCTCTTGAAGTCTGGACCGTCTTCACTGGGTGTGATCGTGTATAAGTGCTATGGTCGAAGCACTGTGCTCTCCCATCCGTTTTTGCTTCCCAAGGTCCTATTGTCACCGACCGTTTTAGAGACCTGACTTCATAATCTCGAAGGCAAACTTCATACTGCGGTCAGTAGGTCATCAGTTTTAGCAACTAATGCAAATACTTTCGATAGTGAGATTAGCAACCAATAAGGAACCATTCACGGGCGTCCCTGTACAATGGTTAGTCCCTTGGCTGTGAATGCTTAACTAATTCGGCGTAAGGCTGGGGTCCAGTGAATTTACCCCTCTAGCTATGCCATCCGTATTCGAGTAGGGGACTTCGAGTTGGTGCTCCCGACGTGGGCACTCCGTAAGACTCGTCTGAGAAAATGGTGTCCGAAATGGTAAGACATGTCTCTTGATTGGGAAGCACAACCTGTTGGATTTTTTAGCGTTATTTGAAAACCCAAAGCTCTTAATGGTTTCCTTTTCTCTGATAGCGTGCACACTTACAGGGCTGGAACATAGTTATTGGCGTACTTTTTTGGAGTTCGACGCAGTAGTCGCCTTGTTCGCTGCCATTCGCTTTTTTCGGTAAGATCCCTCCTGCTGATTTATTTATCAAACTTGATGGCTTCTAGAATTGAGCTGATCAGACAAAACATTTTTGCTGCATTATTCGGGATGATTTTTATCATTAGTCAGACTGCCAACCTACTTTCACCAACACTCCCTCTTACTGACGGCTTCTTTTTCCCCAGTTACACCAACACAGTGACCCTTACCTGACCAGGTTCTCACTCCGTCTCATACCCTAAGCTGTGAGTTAATGTTTTGGTCTAGGTGTCATGGTTACTAATCGCACTCACCGCCAGTTTTTTTTTCTGCATGTGACTGACAGTACTCTAGAATATATCGTATAGATTACGGGAATCACATGCCTCCATCCGAAGCTACAACAGTTATCCATTGATTTGGAGATGAAAGTCACACTAAATCCATATACGTTCATTGTGGTGTAAAAGGGATAGGTCTACCCGTCAGACCTTCAAAAGGCTATCCAAGGATTTTCATCGACCATGTCACATCAAAGACCGCAGTCGTGTCCTAAACTCCACCTTAAGTATGGCGCAGTTGAAAGCTTGCGGAAACGGACTATTGAGACAACATGATGTCCAAGTTTCCAGGCGCAATATAGTTTAAAACACAAAACAGTTTTGGTCGGTGAAGCCGGAGTTATGACCTTCAGGGAATGACTCCTCACTTTTTAGTAACTTCGAATAGGGTGCATTTGTTTTTTTTGTTGTCATCGTCACAAAGTTAGACGGACACGAGTATTATACGCTCACTCTATCCGGAAGAAGAACACATGAAGAAACCAACAGAAGTGGTTCCCACAGCGTAGCCCATGACGTGACAACACGAAATGGTAGCAACCCCTGTCAATTTAGGCTGTATTATCTTCGCGCCTTTCTGGATGGGGTCCATGTGATTATCCGAATGCGTAGTTGAAAATCCGACTGGGACGTAGTATGGGACGGATCTCGGTGGTGAGGTTGTTGGCAATTCCTGACCGGACTGCAGGGCTATGTTTTCTTTGATTGCATAGTGGTTAAGCGTCATTTTTTACCACTAGGTGTTGTCTACAAGAATGAAGGCATGCCATTTTGTCTACTGAGAGATTGAACTTTTAAAGGGTACACGGACAGAGGTAACGGCAGTGCCCGGTCTCAAAATTATTCATATGACAAGTGACAAGTTACTTCTAGTGATCCGCTTGCCATTGTAAAGAAGTACTCATTACGCGTGACCGGACTGGGTAGCTGTTGCAGTTAGACATAAGATGGAACGGGCGGTAATTTGAGGTTCACCGCTATGAGGAGTCCTGTTCATGAAAGAGATCATAACGTCGATCAATTAAAGTACTCGCACACCTTGCTACTGGATAAAGGACCGGAGAAGCAAACAACTCTTCATGAACCTCGTTAACACCCACCTAAGTGACATGTAATACGAAACGAACCGGGCTGCATCGATAACCAAAAATATTTTTTCAACTAAGCTCCGTCACCTCTATGAGCGACATTCTCCAAGTCAACAAAAATGCATTAAAGTTTACATCAATTTTACATGGAGTGGCTTGAAAGAGCTCATCAAGCTTTTTATTATGGTCTTAAAATGGCTGTATTAGATGTACCGGGTTCTGAATATTCTGCGTCACTCGACCTAGGGGAGCAACGCTAATTTGGAGCCCGACTTCCCTAACGATCTCGCTACTGATTGTGTCCGGTAATTAATTGAACTACGGCGAAGTTACTTGCAAACTCCTAAAGATGTCTAATCGTCCAAATGCGGGTTTATCGACAAGACGATACTATGTATACTACAACAAAATGGTGAAATCGTGCATATTTCGAATCGTGATTATAGTGCTTCTGTACATTGTGCCAAACGATGCTAAATCCAAATAGGATTCTGTATAAATTAAATAGGTATAAAATTCGCCCATACAAATTGCACAATGATTCTAGACACAAGATGGCGAAACCCACGTGGTTATATCAAACTTGTGCGTGATATCAGAAAGTGATTTACTTTCAAATCAAAAACAAGAAGAGGGGCTATGGAGACAAAACTGAAAAAAAAACGGAACCAATAATCCCGTTGTACACAAATAGAATAAAATGAAAGGAACAGCGCTCTCCTGTATCACAGCTAACCGAGATGCATAAATCACATCATTTGAACAGCCGTGAAACATTCTTGCACCTGCACACTTGTTTTTCGGAATCTTGCTATCAGTGTGCTTATCAGTTGAACCTGTTGAGTAGTCGAGTTAGTCGATAGGTTTTCTGAATAAAAAACGTACACTTGATCGACCAGCTGATGACATTCCATAGATTGTGCAGGATTGGTCACGTGCTTTGAGCATCATCAGATCAACTTTTCCGAAGAATCTTTCTCACGCGATGATTAACCTGGTGGAAGCATGTTCTATAGTAATGACTTAATAGATGAGCATGAAACTCACTACCAGCGAGGTCATTCGGTAGCCGCCCTCTCCTAGAAGCAGGTGACATCTATGATTCCCAGCACTGCTAAACGTGGCCGAGTCGAGCACCCTAGCTATTATTCCCTGTGCGTAGTTGCCTCCTGATTTTGTTACTCATAACAAAATATCTCATGTGGCCAGTGTGCGCTCACATTCCTATACGCAGTCTAAAGATACCAACTACTTTCTCTAGTGTATCTATCGTTACTACCATGAATGAAGCTTTGGCAGCTAAGGTCACCCTGTAACCCATGCAATTCTGCTCCTGTTTGTTAATCACTTTCTGAACCTCTACCCCATAAACGGTCGCTACTCCGTTTTTTAGGCCTTGAAAATTGGTAGTGTTTTTTTCATGGGATTCCATCTAAAAAAGTCCAGCATTACAAAACATATAAAAAGTTGTTTTCAACTAGGTTTTTTTTTCATGGGATTCCATCTAAAAAAAGTCCAGCATTACAAACCATATAAAAAGTTGTTTTCAACTAGATGTATGTGAACTAACATCTGTTTTCAACCTAAAAGCGAACTCGTGTACTCTACTCCTCGTTGACGAAAGTCTGTCACTACGTCATGGACAAATGCGCCATTTTCTTTATCATTTTGAACGTTGAGGAAAGCACCATAATGATGGGTGGTAGCTCTCTGAAAATAGAATTTCGATAGATTGCATATTTTTCCAGTGATTTTAAGTGTGGTGATCAAATTGGCAGGACTGTTGCAGTATAAGGAAAACCAGATCACTGGGATTGTATTGTTGCAGCGAATCTGGCTGTGTGGTGATAGTTATAATGATGTTATTCGAATGAACGGTTGGGGTCTATTGCGTCGACCACTATAACGTGGGTGAAGTCGTCTCGTTGTCCTTCAGCTGTACCATTCGGTGCCTAGCTGTGATGCCAAGCCTAGATGGTAGCAGTCGGGATATCAAGGCTGGATTCGAACCACGGTCAGCTTTTGCCTTAACCACTGAGCCATCTCCACCTCGAACCGTTCACGAAGGAAGACGAAAATTACATTGTTCTTCCCGTTTTCTGTAGAAATAGCTTCCACAAACCATCATTTGTCCGCTGTCGAGGTTTAAACCCTGGCTTTCTAGTGGTTATTAACCCTTCTCTGAAACCACTTCACTTCACCCAGTGTTTTATCCATGAACTATCGTCTTTCTTAGATTCTGAACATTGTTGTTAGTATATTTGGATCACCCACTTTGTGTACTTTTTGTTGATACTAAATTTAGTTATTTATTCACAAGTCTTGGTTTTGTCTGTTTGTTTTATCTTTTTCACATGGCTTCGCGCTCGGTGGTGAGCAACACCACCACATATTCTGTAAATAAGCATTACCCAATCAGACGATTACATTGTGATCGCCCCACCCAGTACTAGTTCCGGGAATAATCGCGGCTCCCTCCTAAAGACCGCTTCCTGGGTGGCTAAACCAATAAATTGTTTTCTGGAGAGGATCAACCGAATGCCGGAAATAATATCTGCCGCTGACTTCTGTACACTGTGAATGTGTGTATTAATGCCTTAATTTTTGTTCCAACCTACGCTGCCTCATGAGCCCGTAAATTTTCGTCTGCGCTCCTCAAGTATCTTCCGATGCCCCAAGAGGTCGCGAAGTCCGCGGGATAAATCAGAATGGAGGTCAAGCTCTTGAATAAGTTCCAAGTGCAAACGCTACTTAGTAACAAACACTGTCGTAAGATTTGGAATTCTACAAAGAAACAATGGATCCAGCTGTTGTTCTCAAATATTTGTAGCAATCCGCAGACCTTGGTAAGCTTAATTGGTTAGCTTACTCCATTATGTTCGCTAAGTGTAAGCGTATAGTTGGTACAGATGGCACAGTTAACAACTGAAATTAGTAGTCCAAATCGTCTGTTACGTTATGGATGGCAACTGCATGATCCACAACGGGCTCGAGGAAAATGCAATTAACGGCGACTGCACTTCATCATAATTCATCGAATTCCATCAGTAAGTACATATGATATCATGAAACTTTCTACGGAAACAGGCGCTCTTATCCTATCAAAGCCAATGAAGGTCCGGGAAGGTAATTTGTCTTCGAATGAAAATCCCAAATACCTATCGAAGAATACTCATACCAAGGCTTCGTTGCACGTAACTGCTACAAAACTGGATGACTGGTAGTATCGCCCATTATGGGTAGTCACCAGAAAGCGTTCGATTGACTACGCGATTGTCGCTCATGCTCCATCTGCTGGGAACGAAAAGTTGACGAATCAGTTTGAACTGCTTCTCTCTGTGCGTGAATTAACTCTGTTTTCTATCGTTGAATCCAGTCACGCAGGAAAATACTCACCGAAGTTCATTGTTTCCCATAGTGTGCGTGCACACTAGTTTTTCTACCTCCTGCAGGGTGCGAGAGCAGGTTCCTCTCCTCAACTACTGAGCTCACACGTTCAAAACCTTTTTAACTTCCCAACTCAGATCGACACATTGTTAGGCGAAAATCTTATGTCCTGTTCGAGAGTACTGTTGCCGTGCTGAAGTCCAGTATGATAATGTTGGATCGT